CAGTGGGTTTGGTTTGGGCTTTGCTTCTGTGAAGACTGACAGCCTTGGAGACCCTGTGGTGCAGTTCCACTCTGTCCTCTAGGGGCGCTGTGAGTTAGAATTGACTCCAGGAAAGTGGAGTACTATATTCCATGCAAACTTTTCTTTTTAACTGTAGGTGTAAGAGCATATTTTTAACTACCTCAAGATAGAAGCTCTGCTGTTTTACTGAAATGACTCAAAAGCAGGAATACATCAATCTTAGTGTGGCTGATATATGCCACATGGAAAGGACAAATAAAAAGCACGTTACATACCTCTACCAGCCCTAACAAACTGCAATATGCAGACGATGCTACCTATATTGCCAAAAGTGAAGGGATTCAAAACACTTATGATGATGTGCAGCTGGAGTGCTCCTTAGAAGTGAGAATGGCCAGACTTTGTCCACCTACTTTGGTCATGTTTTCAGAAAGGACCATTCCCTGGAGAAGGATATCATGCTTGGTAAAGTGGAGGCTCAATGAAAAAGGGGAAGGCCCTCAATGAGATAGACTGACACAATGGCTGCTGCAATGATGGGCTCAGGTATAGCAAGGATTGTGAGGCTGGCACAGGACTGGGCAGTGTTTCGTTCTCCTGACAAACATTAAACTAAACCAAACTCACTGCTGTGAAGTCGATTTGACTCATAGTGACCCCTCCTTGGGTTTCTGAGGCGGCATCCCTGTGGAAGTAGATTGCCCCACCTTCCTTCTGAGGAGTGGCTGGTGGGTTTGAACCACCAGCCTTCTGGTTGGCAGTCAAATGCCTTAGGCACTGCACCACCAGAGCTCAAGACACCCAACAAAACCCATTACTGCAAGTGTTCGGCACTAGTACTTCTTTTGCTACTCTTCTTCCATTACTTTCAGAATCCACTGGAATGCAACCCATTAATCCTTAAGGATAAAGTGGCCTTCAGTATGTTAGTTACCATATCTCCTAATTGGTCAGGTAAGATATTCTTTGGTTTGTAAAGATGCTCAGGGCAGGGCCTTAACCCTCAGAATCAACCCTTCCAGTAGGTAGTATCCTGTTAATCCTGATTTGAATATACTTTGTCACAAAATAATAATTATTTTTTTTTAATTTTTATTGTGACTTGGGTGAAAGTTTACAGAGAAAATTCACTTTCCATACAGTAGCTCACATACACTTTGTCTCATGATATTGACTACAGTTACCCACAATGCAACAGCTCCCCCCACTTCCTCCCCATAGTTACTTCCTCCCTGTGTCCATCCCTCCATGTACTCCTGCCCCCTGAGCTGTCTCCCTGCACATGCACAGCAGTGTCTGACCCTCACACCCCTACTCCACCGCTGTGGTGTGGCCTCCAATTCACCACAGCCCCATGTGTATCAGAATGGAACCATGCTCCATGGGGTTTTCAGTGGTGGACTTTTCAGAAATAGAATGCTAGGTCTTTCTTCTAAGTGCCTCTGGGTGATCTCGAACCTTCAATCATTTGGTTAGTTGTCAAGTGTGTAACTGTTTGAACCACCTGGGAACCCCTTAATCTCTGTTTACAGCTCCTTAAAAGCAAGTATGCATATGTACAAGGACCCAAAAGAAAGTAAATATAAAAATAGTTGATATGAGTCATTGATACCTGCTGCTGTCAAGTTGATCCCAACTCATAGTGACCCTGGAGGACAGAGGCGAACTGCTTCGTAGGGTATTCAAGGTTGTAAATCACTACAGAGGCAGGCTACCACATCTTTCTCCCATGGAATGGCTGGTGGGTTCGAATGGCCAACTTTTGGGTTCACACCTGAGCGATTAACCACTGAGCCACCAGAGCGCCTGTATGAGTGATACTTGATCCTTTTGTTAAATTCCCATTATGACATTAAACTATTGTATATACAACAGACAAAAATCAGAAGAAAAACCCAAAGGTGGAACAATTTTATTCATTGTCATTAAAAGGATTATTGGCTAGATGATCTGTTATATAATGATTCCAAGTCACAAAGTCCCTGTCACTTTGTATCACGTTAATCTGATAATGTGCTTTCTAGAACAAACTTAAGGGGTCAGGTGTTAACCAAAAGGCTGGTGGTTCAAATCCCCCTCAGAGGCTCCAAGGGGGAAAGCCCAGGCAATCTGCTTCAGTAAAGATGACAGCCTGGCAAACCCT